CGTTTAAATAATTATAATAAAATAATATTTATATTTATAATATAATTTAAATGAATTAAATGAAGTAATTAATTAGTTATCTTGATCTCCTATAGAACATGGGCCACCCAAGTAAATCCGACCATTCTCATTAGAAATAATTAAATAACCACCGGGAACATTGACAGTGACTTTACTTGCATCCTGATCGATCAACTTCAAACGTTTAGCCAAAGCAACACAACTAGTTGAGCCAGTTCCACACGCCAAAGTTAATCGATTGATACCTCGTTCAAAAGTTTATAAATGTATAGTTGTAACTTGATTAAGATTTATTCCAATTGGGAATTTACTGGTGTCGTTATTTAAAAAATTTCCGACCTTGACTAATTCTTAAGTGTGACCAAATGAGGTTCTGAGGTGTTAAGATAATGCCAGGTGACACCATCCACAACTAGATTCCCATCTTTGCTGACAAAATTCTTCATCTGATAAGCCATCATTATCATGATAATTTAGAGATTGTGTGGTTGGCTCTCATTCAACTTTCCAAAATTGGTGAAAATGTGAACATATGACAAGGTTGATTGGTGAAAATGAACCGTGATTTACCCATTTCAACAAAGAATTCAGTGCCATGTTGAAGTAGTTCATGGAAATAATCACCACATCTGATAAAAAATTGCTTGTAACGGTCTCCGTAATGATCAAAACAATATTTTGAAACAACTCTAGCGCCGTTGCCATAAAATCCATCACCAGGTTCATAAACATACATTCTAAATATGTACGAGACTTGTACTCATTGATAATGATGGTGGCAGCGATGGTTGTGATGGAAATTCTTTTTCTTGACTAAATTTTGTAAGAACAAGACAAGAATCTATTTTCTCGAAACCAATTTTTCGATGAAAATAACGAACTTACTTTTCATCGAAATCATGTTCAAATTTATCTAAATAATCAAAGATTAGAAAAGTGTTTCCAGAAATTTCAGCAAGTATTGATTTAGGATTTGTATTTTTTTTTTCGTGATCTTTAGTGTTGTTATACATGAATTATTATTATATTTATTATTATCAACTATTATTACTATTGCCGAAATCAGGAAAATAAATAAAATACCCCGGATTGTCGTTTTTATATATGGTCATAAACCAGATTTAGTCGGGATTTTTGTGCCAACTATGTAATAGTAAAGGATATTGATATTTAACTATTATTATTATTATGAGAAAAATTTTTGTATCTATAAACAATTAATTGCTTATATAGCAGGAATTTGAGTGTGGCTCTTAACGTCTACCCCCGTAACTCTTAATGCCCATGCATAGGCCTTTTTTTCCAGTATACCCAACAATACTAATATCTTACAACCGTATGGTCCAGACGTTTGGATTAGTGGATGTTGGATAATTATTATAACTCACTGCGTATGACTTTTAATACCCTAGGCCGAGTCCTCTCTTCCAGTATACTATATTGTTAGATGCTATTCTTTAATGGCAATTATAATGGCGAGTCATAACGATTATATCACAGTCACTTCAGTCTAACAAGTCATAATGTGTATTCCTTAACACTATGATCCAAACATCGGTCGCAGGGCCGAACCTTACGAGTGTAAGATACCATATGATGCTATTCTTTCTGTTGTGGCAATGTGAAAGATTGAGAAGGCATAAAATTTGTAATGATTTAATGATTTAGAAAATTTTTCTTGAATGAACGCAATAAATCATTCTCTCACCAATTCTTTAGCTGTAAAACAATCATAATTTTCCCCGCCATGCTTTACCGTAGATGACAAATTTCCAATATTAAAACGAGTTCCATTTTCACGCTAAATTCGTGCTAGTCCATCATTACCAAGTATTGTAAAACGTTTCTTCACTGCAATTACATTATAATTATTATTGACAAGTGCATTTTTAGAACCGCCTACTTAATAACATTCAACAAATCAGAAACTAAAACGAAAATTCAAAGTTTATCTTAAAGAATTGACATTTAGTTTCTTTTATTCCAAAACCAGTAAGCTTGCATTTATTGTACACTTAAACAAAGTTGATAGTATTGAAATCTTAACTGAATATATACACACAAAATGCCTTCTCTTTGATGTATTAAATAAAATGTCAAATGTAAATATATGACGCATGGATTAGTGTGGTTTTGATTGTAATGTTTAATAACTTCCCGAGATTAAAATATACACTTCCTGGTCATAAATATAAGGACACTTGCAGATCATCGGAAATAATTGAATAAAGAAACATGAAAAA